CTTTGGCAAATCCCCTGACCTCTGTTTGGACTGTGCTAAGGGCACATTTGGGATATGGGATGACCTCCTGCCTCTTCGAGGTTCTTGGCTCCTACCCTTCCCATCCCTCACTCCTATGGCAGGCAGGGCTTTGGAATAGCCATGTCCACTCTTTCCTCTCTAATGTGCCCTTGCTGTCCCCTTCCCCAGGCTGCCACTGGTTCATATCCCATCCTTTGAGTACCTGGTCCCTGCCATGGTGCTGAGCTCCCACCTGTCTCTTGGTGCCAGCATAGACCGGAACGGTGAGCACAGCCCTGGAGCCTTCTTCCCACAGGACCCAGGCCATGTCAGTGCCAGAGCATGTGCCCAGCACATGGGGTGGGCATGAGGAGTAGCAAAGGGCCCTGCCTGCTGGCTCCTCTGGTGATGGTGCACAGCACCCTACTTACCCCTGAGTGCATCGGGTTGCCACCCTAGGGTCAGGGCTTATAGGGATGGGGATGCTTCAGCCCCCACACTGTGTGCTCTTGGACCTGGCTCCAGAAGCCCAGTGTTCATGTGCATCACATCATGCAAAACTCCCTTACAGGCACAGCTGTGGCCAGTGAATGCCATGCACCACGTTGCACTGTTGCAGGGAACTGGGCTGCCCCACTGCAAGAGGTGGGTGCTCCTGCACTGGGCTGGGAGTCCCTGTCCTGCTCCACCCGTGCCCCAGGTGTTACCTGCTTCCCTGCACCCCCAGCCCCTTTCCCAGCCCTCCTGGGGATTGTCATGAACAGTGGGGACACAAGGGGATGTGCGAAGGCAATGGGGCTCATGGTGTATGTGGGTGCATGTGTTCCTTTGGGCCTGGGGTGAGCAGAGCACAGGGAACAAGTGACACTACTGGGGTAGTGGGAGTGTGTCCAAGGGAAAGCATTGCTCTGCTCTCCATGCATCCTGCCACATGGACCCCATCATTTCCTCCCACAGGTCTCTGGAGCTGTGCTGGTCTCTGGGCTGGTTCAGCTGGTGCTGGGAGTGTCTGGTGTGTGTGGGTGGGCAGCCCAGCACTGTGGGCCCATGGTCCTGGCTCCCAGCCTCTCCATCATCGGGCTGTCTGCATATAAGGAGGCTGCTTTCTTCTGCTCCACTAACTGGGTGGTAGCTCTGCTGTACGTGGGCTTCCCTTCACCATGGAGATGGGAATGGGGCATCTTCATGGTGCACAGCACATGTTTGGGACCCCCATCACCGTGATGCTGCATGGTGACCTGTTCTCCCTCTCCTAGGCTTATGCTTCTTACTGTCACCTTCTCCCAGCACATGGGATCTTGCCGCCTGCCCTTCTGTGCCTGGCCCCAGGCTTGGAGGGGCTCCATGGAGCCATCTGTGCCCACCCTGCGCACATTCTCGGTACCAAAACTTAATACGCCCCAGCTCCCTCTGCTTCACCCAGTTTTCTCTCTAAGCCTGGTTCTTTGGTGTGGGGTTAGGCAAGGGTTAGCTGGAGCAGAGCTGAGAGCAGAGGCAGGGGTGAGGAGTCCTGGTGTAACTCTCAGGGTGTGGTTGCTGTTGGGGGAGCACAGAGGACTTCTGCTCAAGGGTACAGGAGCAGCAGAGCCTGGGATGCTCCCTGCAGGCGTAAGGGGAGATGTAGCATGGCTCTTTGGGAGAGGTGACAGGACAAGGACCTGCTCTCTGGGGAACAGCAGATGGATGGGGTGCTGGCCAGGGCAGGCAGGGGAGGAGGGTGCTCTGCTGAGTGTCCCCTTGCTGCCTTGCAGGTACTACTCCCATTTACTGGTGTCTGCATCCTCTGTGCTATCCTCAGCCATCTCCACATCCACTGGGAATCGCTGGACCTGGCCATGGCCCAGCTGTCCTGGGCCAACACTACCTTCCATGTCCCTTGGGTCCGCATCCCCTACGCAGGTAGAGGCCAGCAAGGCTGCATGCAGCCATCAGCCTTCAGCCAGGGCCTCTATCACCCGTTCTTTCTCCTGCCGCAGGCGAATGGGGGTGGCCGCTGCTCACCCCCCGGGCGCTGGCAGTGGGCATCGCCATGGCCATGGGCTGCAGCATGAACTCGGTGGGCTGCTACGTGCTGTGCGGGCAGCTGCTGAGAGCCCCCCGGCTGCCCCCTGACGCATGCAACCGGGGGCTCTGCACGGAGGGGCTGGGCAGCCTCCTGGCAGGGCTGCTGGGTGCCCCGGGGGGCACTGCCGCCAGTATTGCCAACGCCTGCGCTGCTGGCCTCACCCAGGTATGGCTGGGGTTGGGAGGAGGGTCGGCAAGGGATGGAGAGGCAATGGAGCAGGAGGGGTGGGTGACCTGCAGCACCCAGGCTGTCACTAGATCATCGCTGGGAAAGGCAGGTCTGTATGGCAGGATGGGGAGGGGGTGGGGCGGGCCACGACAGAGTGGGGAGCGATGCTCCCTGTCCTCACTTTCCTGTCCTTTCTACTAGACTGGCTCTCGCCTCTCGGTGCAAGTGAGCGCGCTGGCGTGTGTGGTGCTGGGCATGTCCCCGAGGCTGGTGGGGCTCCTCACCCGCATCCCGCTGGCTGTTCACGGTGGGTACCCTGCCATTCCCCTGCACTGTGGTGCCTGCAGCCTGCCTATCACTGCCTGACTCCTGCCCCCCGCAGGAGGGGTACTCTGCATCACCTATGCTGTAGCCGTGGGCACGGGGATCTCCTACTTCCAGTATGCGGACATTGACTCGGGCAGGAACATCTTCATCGTTGGCTTTGCCATGTTCATGGCGCTCCTGGTGCCGCGGTGGTTTGGCACGGCTCTGGCTCACCTGGCCACAGGTAGCAGGGACATTCCCCAAGGAAGGCAAAGCCTCAGGCCCTGTGGCAGAGTGACCACACTTCTCCAGTGTCCTGGGAGGCTGGGTCAGCTCACAGCAGCAGGCAGAGCCCCTCTCCAACTCCTGGATCTGCCATGGCAGCTCCTGGTCCTTTCCCTCTTGGACTGGGATGTCCTGGGTGATTCTGGCACCATCTCTGCAGGCTGGGTGCCACTGGACCTGCTCTTCCTTTCCCTGCTCATGGCACCTGTGGTTTTAACTGGCTCCTTGTCATTTCTCCTGGAGAATACAGTCTCAGGTGAGGCGCTGCTCTAGGTACTCTGTGTGAGGCCCTGCTCTGAGGTCTGCATCTGGCCATGGGACTGCCTGCAGGCAGCCCTGCTGTGGATCCCGGAGCTGGTGTAGGCTGGGACAGTGCAGCTGGAGGAAGGGGCTCCCATCACATTGCTCACTTCTGTGCTTGCAGGAACCTTGGAAGAGCGAGGGCTGCTCTTTGAGCTGGGGCCATGGAGAGCTGGGGTAGGCGACCACCATGCCCATGGAGAGAGAGGCAAAGCCAGCCAGGCATATGGGCTCCCCCCTGGGCTGAGCAGGCTGCTGCCGTCCTCCTGCAAAGCCTTCCCCTGCTGCTTCCTTTGCCCGAGGAGCGAGGAAGAGGAGGAGAAGGAGGATGAGGAGGAGGGCGGCCGTGCCACTGAGGAGGGGGCCACTGCCCCCGAGGAAGGGATGCACCTGCTCCCCAAACCTGGCTCAGGGGAGCCACAGCCACCCAGGAGGATGAGTGAGATGGTTATGGCTGCATGGACACAGTGGCCTGACTCTGCGGAGTGCGAATACCTCATGGTGGACCAGCGTTGTGCCCCAAAGACAGCTTGTGAGCCACTTTGCTCCTAATTTCTGAAGCCCACATGGACTGAAGGGACATGTGCTTCCACACTCCCAGCACAAACCCCATTTCCTTCCTTGGGAATGAGATATAAAAACCTTCAACCAACTTTGGTGTCTTGATGGCTTTCCTTTCTAGCCAGGATTTGCCTGTGAGATACCAGCCCTCCCTCCCCTGGTAGCCTGAGGACTGCAACCACAGAGGCCACAGCCATCTGGTGCCACTGCAGCTGGGGATGTGGGTGCCGTCAGCCTGTGGACATGGCTGGGAAAGGGCTCAAGGGCTCAGTGCTTTGACCATCCCCAAGGGGCTCTGCTCACCTCTGGCACCATGCTCAGGAAGGGCTGGCTCTCCATCTCCTCCCTGCTGTGTCCCAGCTGGGCCCATGGCCCCTTGATGCCCATGGCACTATGTCTATACTAACGTCCTGGTACGCCAGCATGCCCCAGGCTGGGGATGCAGCTCAGGTCAGCTCTCCAAAGCAGTAAACTCCTTTTCACCTGCAGCGGGTTGGTCCCAGCAGCACTCACCATCTAACTGCCAGCACTGGATTTCTCTAGAGAAAAAACAACATTGAAATGTTGCCTTTGACCTCCGTGATTAAGTTCGGTTCCTGGATTGTTTCCCACCGCTGGCTGGTTACACCGACTACAGCAGAGCCTGCACCAGCCCTGCTCACTGCTGCAGCCTTTACAGCAGATCAGAGTCCACGGGTACTCCCTGCGCTGCCACCACCAGTCTGGACCAGCCTGCAAACGCACAGCAGTGGGGCAGGAACGGCCATGGTTTTGCAGCCTTCGGGTGATGCAAGCTGGCCCTAGGTGCAAGCTCAGAGGAAGGATAAACCTGGGCTGGGGGGATGGTGGAGCTTATCCATGGGGGGGTCCTACCTGGGCCCTGCACCCATCTGGCCCTGCATTCCGTGCCTAAAGCATGACTCGGTCCAGCACTCTGCCTGGATCCTGTACCCCAAACCCTCCCTGACCTGGCCAGGCAACCCCATCCATCCTGCACCCTGCTTGGGTTCTGCACCCCAAAACCCCTGTCTGCTCCCACACACCCTGACAACCCTTAGGGATGCAAATGTTCCGGGACGACCCTCCCTCGGTCCCGCCCCGAGGGCGGCCGCAGCCTGCAAGGCAGGGAGAGGTTTGAGGCAGGGCGTTAATAGGGTGCAAATGGAGAGCTCGGGGGCTGTACATGGGTGCGGGGGGGAGGGGAGTTTGTGGGTGCAGGGTGGGTGGCCTCAGTGCATGGGGTGCAGGTGGGGGATCACAGTCAGCGCATGGGTGCTGGGGGGGGGGGTGTCAGTGCCCGGGATAAGGATGGGGCTGTGCTCAGCTTGGCGGCGTTGGGAGTGCGCCGTGTCCATGGCCTCTGCCAGGCTGTCACAGCGCTGCTCTGCGGTGTCCTCTGAACCCAGTCCCTGGGCACGGAGGCAGAGGCACCTGCAGCCCCAGCTATGTGGGGCTCGCTGGAGTGCAGCGAAGCCCCAGCAGAAGCCTGGGAGAGCTGCGGCATGGGTGCATGCCCTGTGCCATGCCTGCGCGGGCACCCTGTGGCTGCTTGAGGAATAAACCCGGGGCCAAGGGACCGGACTCCTGGCTGCTGCTGCCTCTCCCGGCTGTCCCCCGCTGGGCACTTGTACCAGGATGCTTCGTAACAGCAGCAAGCACAAAACAAAGTCGTGAGGCGTTTCAGACCCCAGCGCTTTGCGCAGCGTCTTGGCCATGGCACCTGCTGTGATAACCGGAGATGCCCAAGCCGTGACAGCTCAGGTGCCCGTCCTTGTCAGCAGCCGGGGGAGCAGGAGCACTTGCTCCCTGGGCTCTGAGGAAGCGATGGCCATTCCATGTCGGTGACCCATAGCGCGCACATCCCAGCGCGCCCCGCGGCAGAGAGCAGCATACTGGGAGCTGTAGTCCCGCCCTCGCCTCCGGCCCGGAGCTGCTCGCCTCTGCAAGCCCGTCACCCAGGTAGCCTCTGGCCCACCTGCTCCTCTTGCCCCCGGGTAACTCCGCGGCTCACCAGTGCTGCGGGCACGCTGGGATCGTTGAGTGCCCGAGTGGTCGGGCAGGCACAGAGCCCGTCACAGGGAGGAGCGGGAACGGGCAGTGCTCTCGGCAGCGTGCGCTGCTGCCGGCACACTGCCGGTAGTGGTGCAGGCAGGGTACTGTCCGTGGCTCACGTGGAGCACGGGGGTGGGATGTCCAAGCAAGAGGGGGGCTGCAGCATCCCCCTGCCCATCTCAGTGCAAGCAGGGCAGCTTAAATGTTAATTTGGATGTAGAGATCTTGCCCTATTAATGGTAGCAAGCACTGGAAAATGCCGGGGAGCCAGCAAGTACATTGCTGTGCATCTGCTGGTGCGTTTGGGATGCTTATTGTGAGCTGGGGTAGAAACTGCCCTGCACAGAGCTCCCCATAATGCCTGTCTCAGCAAAGCTGCATGCATGTGCAGGGATGTGTGTGACTGGAGCTGGCTGAGCACCCTCACCTCTGGGCTGCAAAGTGGGGCTGGCATCATGAATGGGTGGGCAGGGACCAAGGGTCTGTGTGAAGCCACCCCAAGGCCTGGGGTCTTCCTGGGTTTGGGTGAGGCAGAGACATGATTGTTCTTTTGCAGATGGAGGGTTCCAAGAAGCTGGAGAGCAGCCTCCTGACACAGCCCTGGGCTTCTGTTTGCCTTAGTGAGTGCCCTTTTATTGCCAAAGTATGCTTCAGGGATACTGGCTACATCCTGCTCATCTCTGACCTCAGCAGCGTCTGGTACGAGAGTGCAGATGCCGAGGCTGTGGGACAAAGGTCCAAGGTGAGTGTCTGGAAAGTCCAGGGACTTCCTTTTCTCCTTGTAGCAGCTGACATCCTAGCACAGACTGCTTGGTGACACAAAGACAATTGGATCTGACAGGGCTCAGGTGCAAACACCTGGCCGAGGAAGTCCCTGGGCAGCTCTGCCCAAGCACTGCTACCCTGGATGGCCGAGCACCCTCCTCTTGGGAGAGTGGGCCAGGCTCTTTAAGATGCCCAGGGCAACTAGATGTTCGCTGGGGCTGCATGCTGAGGCTGGCATACTTGTTTCATTTGTGGGGTGGATGAACAGCTGGTTTCCCCAGGATCAGTGCTAAAGGAAGAGCTTGAAAAAAGGCTGCCTTTCCACCAGGGATGGGGAGACTCCTGATCACATTCAGAGGAGGCACAGACTCCCATGGGATGTCCTCTTAGCATGGCCCCCAAAACACCTGGGGCCATGCCTCATCCCTCACCCCAACCCGTGTCCCCCTGTGCCTAGGTCACCCCTGTCTGCCATGTCCCTTTGCCCACAAAGCTCTGTGCTGAGCAGCTGCTGGCAGGAGGGGTGGGCATGCAGGGGCAGCCATCTCCCAGCTCTGGCAGGTTAGCTGAGCTGTGACAACTCTCAGCCAGCCTGGGACACTCGTGGTGGCATGCAGGGCAGATACACTAGTGGAGACTGTTGCACCCTGCCCACCACCTGGGCCTTCCTGGGCTGGCAGGGCAGGGGAGCCTTCACACTTTGTCTGGGGAGTATTCTGTCACAGGGCTGGAAGCTGAGGCCCAGGGATGACTTTTGCAACACTGGGACATGCAGAAGTAGTTTGGCTCATTCTGTGCTGGAGTTTCTGCTGCTTGTTTCCCAGTGCCGAGCTCCCAGGGCATCGCTGTACCCCTAAACTTGCCTTTCCCCAGGAGCTGAACAAGCGGCTGACAGTCCAGGTGTCCTCCTTCCTACACCACTTGTGCAAATTGATGGGCCCCTTGCTGGCAGGGCAGCCGGATGCCACCACCTCTTTCTCCTGCCGCCGCACTGCCAATGGGCTCAGCCTGCACGTGAAGAGTGAGCTCTCCGGACTGCCCTTCTACTGGGATTTCCACTGCTGCCCTGCTCCTGTGGAGATGGTGAGTGAAGCTGAGGAGAGTTTGGGGAGGGGAATGGCCAAAATCAAGGGTTGTCTCCTAATGCTTGGAAGCTTTTGGGTGGTCTCAGGCTGTGCTGGTGGCTGTAGAGTGCCTGGCTCTGCCTGCTGCCCCTCACACAGAATCACAGAACGGTTTGGGTTGGAAAGGGCCTTAAGGTCATCCAGTTCCAACCCCCTGCCCTAGGCAGGGACACCTCACAGTAGACCACGTTGCCCAAGGCTCTGTCCAGCCTGGCCTTGGACACTGCCAGGGATGGAGTATTTACCACTTCCTTCAGTACCCTTCCTTCCAGTGCCCCATCACTCTTACAGTAAATAATTGCTTCTTTATATCTAACCTAAATCTATTCTGTTTAAGTTTCAACCCATTGCCCCTTGTCCTATCACTACAGTCCCTAATGGAGAGTCGCTCTCCAGCATCCTTGTAGGCCCCCTTCTCTTCTCCAGGCAGAACAGCCCCAACTTTCTCAGCCTGTCTTCCTCTGGGAGGTGCTCAAGCTTTCTTATCATCCTCGTGGCCCTCCTCTGGACTTGCTCCAACAGCTCCATGTCCTTCTTATACAGTTTCATGTCCTCTCCATGGTTCACTGCCCCATTTCTTCAGACTGAGCCTTTGGCATCTTGGTTGGTGCCTTGCAGCGAAGCAGGGGTGGCCCAGCATGTGCTGGTACCCCGGCAGCAGGGAGTTGTCCAGTTTGGGATGAGACCCTGCCAGCACCCCACACAGCAGAATGATGCTGTTCTCCTTTGGTGCATGCCATGAAGTGGGGCACAGAGCAGTGGGTACCCCCAAAGGACCCGCAGGGGCTCCATCACAACTGCAGGAATGAAAGTGGCGTCTTCCCGGCTTTTAAGAGGCTGCTCTTACCACGGGATAGCCCCACACCGAGTTTCGGGGGGCAGCCCCCTGCAGCCCGATCACACGCTGCGTTTGCGGCCCGCGACGGACCCCCTGGCAGGCGGGCAGGGGCTGCCCTGGCCGCCCCCCCGGCCCGGGTCCCTCCTGGTCCCCGACCCTGCGGCCCTGCGCGCACAAGAGGGCGCCCGGTACCCGCTAACCGCTCAGCGGAGGCCTCCAGTGGCAGCACCGGCCCCGCGGCCGGCCCTGTGGCTCCGCTGCCGGCGGGAAGCAGCGCCCTCCATCCCTAACACCGGCTCCCAGCGGCTCCTGGTGCGGGTCCTGGTGCGGGTCCCGTCTTTTCTCCCCCGGAATGCTGTGTTTGGGCATCACGGGGAGGAGAGCTGGGCTCCCCACCCGCCCTGGGGGTGTCTGTCCTCACTTTCAAGATTGAACTGGGGAGCAAATAAACCCAGGGTCCTGGCTTGGCTTGACTTCCTGTCCCTCCCTGGGCAAGGAGCATGGAGGCTGAGCTGAAAAGGTGCAAAGCCCGAGCACTCAGTTGGTAGCTGCTCCTCTCCTTTTGCTTGGAAATGTGAAGGATGTCTGCAAGGCACCCAAGAAATGGGAATCTGTTGGATGCTGAGCGTGGCTGTTGTGGATGTGGGAATGAAGAACAACTCTCCCTTGCTAAGATCGGCTCAGCAGCTGGCCAGGGGCTCCAGGCTGGCACAAAGCCCTCCTGACAAAATGCTGCTTGCCCTGTCCCAGCTCTGCTGCCAGTGGTCTCCTCTGAGTGCTTGGGTGTATGATGGTTGTCACCTCTGCAGCTCATCCCTGGGGCACATGGCAGGGTCTGTGCTTCCTCCTGCACCCAAAATGGCAGGTGGAGCATTGCCTATCTTGCACACTGTCCCACTCAGGGTATCCCACCCAGTTTTTCACCTGCTGCAGATCTCAGCTGTGAAAGGATGGGGCTGGGATGGAGGGATGTGTCCTGTAGCATCTGGCCTCTCTTCTCCCAGCTCATGTTTTTTTACCACTTCCCACTGGATTTGGTTGAGACATGGGGTATCTTGGGGAGCTCTGTGTGAGCTGGGGTGCAGCTCTTGCTATGGTCTTCCTGCCTTCCCTGCTCTTGTGGAGCTTTCCTAAAGTGTCCTTCCTCCATCCTAGGTGTCCCGCCACCTCGTCAGGCCCTTGATTCAGATGAGCCTGGCGCTGCAGTCCCAGGTGCAAAACCTGGCCTCTCTACTGCTTCAGAAGGATGCTGAGATTGAAGACTACAGGGAGAGTGGGGCCACTCTCAGCAGAGGTGAGAAGGGATGCCTAGGGCCAAGAGAAGAGCAAGCAGGGAGTGAGTTTCCTCCTTAGCACGGGGCTGGCATGCTCTGCTCTCTCTGGCTGTTACCCAGCCAGGCTTGTTTCATGTTCAGCTGTGCTGGCAGCAAGATGGTAGCCAGGAGGTTGGGGAGCAGCCCCTGGGGAGAGCTGGAGGAGGAATGGCCCTTGACCGGGAGCTGGAGGAGCTGGGGAGTCGCCAAGGGGCTCTCCACTTCACCTGGCTGTTCCCCAGGAGTCGGCAGGGATGCCAGTGGGGGCCGGCCCTGCAGCGGTGTCAGGCTCCCTTCCCAAGCACGGTAGCTCCCGAGTGCTTGGAGAGCAACCAGGGGCTCCCGGCTCTCTCCGCCATGGCAAACACAGCCATGTGTGTGGCCCCCCTCCAGCGCCCAGCTCACCTTGCCACCAGCTGGGACAGGCGGGAAGAAGCCTTCTGGGGTAGGACGTGGGTCAGGACCTTCTCTGGGGAGCCACCCTGGGGAGGTTATCCTCTGCCCACGCAGGCTGACTGGGACCTGGTTTTTGGCTCATTCCTTGTTAGTGCTGCGCTCTGTCTGCTGCCAGAGGTGATGCCTGCCCTTCCATAGGAATTTTGCCCCTTGCAGATGTGGGGATTGATGGGGAATTCACGGGGATCAGCCCTGACTTGCTTATCATGGCCAGGAAGGTGATGTGGTCCAGACCCTGTCCAACGGCAGGCACCCCACCACAGGAGCCTGGATCTTCCCTGCAGCTGCACTAGAGTTGCATCAGCTGGCTGCTCTCCCCTGTCTTCTGACACGTGCTGGCCCTGCTTGGCTTGGGGCAGCCAGAACAACCTGGTTTGGGCCCAGGGACTGATGCTGGTAGGCAGATGGCCTCTCTTGTTTCTTGTCCGGGCAGGGTGGGATGCTGGGAGGAAGCTTTGGACCAATGCTGCTAAGCAGAGCTGGCCAGGTGCTTCTCCAGACAACATCTTAGCAATGATGGGAGAAAATCAGTGTTCTGAACAAGATTCAGAGCACAGGCTCTTCTGCTGGCTCAGGGATGAGTGTGCTGAAGCTGTTCCCTGCAGTCCGCTTGCCTCACAGGCGGGGAAAGGGGGAGCCAGGGTCAGAGGCCTGGCCAGATCTGTCCAAGCTCATCCCTGCTTTCCCTTGCAGATCGCCTGCGGACGGAGCCCTTCCAGGAGGAGACATTTCAGCAGTGCTTCATGGTTAAGGTAAGGAGCTGTGCAAGTGCTCCCTTCTTTGACAAACGAGTGGTGGGGAGCACCAGCACCAGCAGCCCCATTGTGAAGTGTGTTGGGCTGGATGGACACTGCTGAACTTGCCTGGAGAGGTGTAGTGGCCATTGGCTCTCCCATGGCCCTCCTTTGTGTCCTTGCACCTCCTTTGGAGAGTGAGAAGAGCTGGGGGCATGCCTGGTACAGCTGGATGGGGAGGTGGCAGCATGTTTTGTCATCCTCTTGCCACTTACCTGGCTGCTGGTTGTTGCTAGGGGTGCAAACTGGGTTGGCTGCTCCATGGGAGTGTGTCATTACTGTGGCATCCTCACCTGCTTCCCACACTTGCTGTGGATCTGAAACACTGATACTGATATCAGGCAAGGAGCAGGTAAACGAGAAGCCATCTGCTCCTTTTGGTTCATCTGCTGCTTTTAGGTTGGCTTTCCAGTGCTGCATTGTGGGGACAAGTGCCTTTCAGCCTGTTTTCTGTGCTGTGGGATGCTCATCCTTTTCACCCTCCCCTTGGCATGCACGGCTCTAAAATCAGTCATGTGCTTTGGAGAAACTGGGATTGGAAGGAGAGAGTCTTTCCTCTGATCTTTTTTCATTATTGGAAATAATCACAGAAGCACTAAAATGATTCAAACCAATGTGGTAAGATCAGAAAGGATTGATACCCATTGATGTAAAATAACTCAGGATGCTTCTAAGTGTTCCTGTGCTCATTGCAGAGGCACAGGAGTGAGGAGCAGTGGTGTCTGCTGGGCACCAGGGAGTCAGCCAGGGTGTCCATGGTGTCCATAGGATATTGCTTCATGAGACACACACTGGTGGTCCTGCACAGCCAGCAACAAACCACCTGCAGAGTTTCTAAATATTAGGGGTGATCCCTCTTTTTGCATTGCCTCCAGCACAGGGAACTTTCATTTCCCCCTGGTTATGGTGGATAGAGATGAATTCACTGCTGGACTGCAACTTAGAGGTTGCCTAGGGAGCAATGATCATGAGCAGATTACATTCACCCTGGTCAAAGAAAGGACATTCCTAAACAGTAATTTATATCCTTCATGCTTTGAAAGGGCTAATTTCCCAAAGCAGGGGGAAAATTATGAGCGAAATCAGCTCTGAGGAAACATTTAGATAGAAAAATGTGAATGAAAATGGTGAGCTCTTTCAGAAGAATTTCAGAAGCCACAAAAAGCCACAATTCCACAATCAAGAAAGAGGGCAGCGCTGGCCGAGAGCCCGTTCTGGTTCAGTGGCAAACTGAAGGCAGCAATTAGAAATAAAAGAGCAGTTTATAACAAATGGGGGAGCGGGAGTAGATAGCAATCAGTATAAATTAGAAATTATGAAGTGTAGAAAATGGATAACAGAAGCTAAAGACATCAAGGAAAAATCATGGAGAAGGAGAGAAGGAAAGACTTTTATTTAGTGTAGCAGGAGGAAACCCCAAGCTTCCAGCAATGGGATAAGCTTAATGGTAGATGAAGGTGGTGAAATGATTGATACTGGAACAGACATGGCAGAAGTAGTTGGTAAGCGTTTCGCTGCTGTTGCCGGAAGGATGCGGATGGATGTGCCAGGATCAGGGGATGATGAAGTGTGTCTTTGTCCAAGGGTCAGCTCAACAATATCTGCTAAAGATGAACATCAGGCTTGAAACTCCAGAGTCCTTCAAGAGCTGGTAGGGGTGTGGGGCACAGGAGAAGGTGCTCTGTGGTGCAGGGTGGGCAGGAGGGGAGTGATGCAGCCCTGCACAGAGCCTTGCACAGGCAGTTAGTGGGGAGCTCATCTGTCAGACTTAAAAGATGGGAGGGCAGTTGGTGCTGTGTGTCCCGAGAACAGTCCAGCAGCAGCATCTTGGGGCTGGCGCACTGTACGGGGAATGGGAGGGACTGGGAGATGCTCTCCCTCTGCATCCCCTGGCAGCCAGATCTGAGCACCGGCACCAGGGGAGCAGTGGTGGAGGGATGCAGTTGTGTGTTCAGTCTGCCTGGGGGATCTGTCTTCTCTGCATTCATCCTGTTGCTTTATGAACCCACTGATGATGCTTTTGTCCCATGTACAATCCTGTGGCAATGAGCCGTGAGATGCGAGCAGCTGCTGCCTTTGGTTTGAATGTGGTACCCTGTTCCTCCTGATGCCTCCTAGGTCTTGTGTTAGTGAGGAACACCAAACACAGCTTTGCAGCTCTTCTCCACCAAAACTGGCTGTTCACCCTTATTCACTCCCTGCTCGTTCTGCAGCAGAAGGGTGGGCTGGATGATCTCGTTGTCTCTTGGCAGGTATTTCAAAGCCCCTGGGCAATTCAGTACTCCGTTTGCCAGCTCCAAAAAGAGCAGCATGAGGGGCTGGGGTCCCTCGGGACATGCCATGGGGAGCTGGGAGTGCAGCAACCAACTCCTGCATCTGGGTTTTCCAAAAGACGCCGGACAATCAGCACAGAGTCGCAGGAATGAACTGAGGGCTGGGGAGAGAGCCCAGCATTGAGAGACTTGGAACGGAAGAGCTCTGTCTACTTATCAGGGAGAAAATTGAGAGGCGCCTTGATTACAGTGTGTGAGGGTCTTTACAAGGAGAAAATACTGCTTAGAGAAGGGCTGTCTTTAATCTCACGGAGAGCAGGGAGCACAAGCCAGGCACCGGGAGCCAGAGCCAGGCAATTTCAAGCTAGGACAGAGGCACTTGGGTTTGCTCCCATGGGCGATTAACGATTGAGGCATGCTCCCAAGGGCAGCGGTTGATTCTCCATCTCTTGATGTCTCCAAAAGTGGGCTGGGAGCCTGCCTGGAAGAAAACCAAGTTGCTGGGATCGGTCTTGGGATGTGCATGGCTGAACGTCAGTGGGCAGGAGGTCAGGAGGAGAGGTCTGATGGTCCTTCCAGCCTCTCCCTTTGCAAAACAGGGCCTCAGGTTGTGGATATTTGGTAGTGGTAAACACCTCCTGGCTGGAATGGTGTTGTGATTGGTGTGGCACAGGGCTGGCAGGAAGCGGGAAAGTGCTCCACAGCTTTGCTCGCTTCCCAAACCTCTGCTGCTTCCCTCATGGAGAGGAAAGGACCTGCCAGTCCCTGAGGGCACAGCTGCACAGCCTTAAATGTGCCCTTTCCCTGGGCTTGTGTGCACTTGGCTGTCCAGGGCATTTTAACTAATCATGGGGAGTTTTCCAGCTAAGCCCTGGGAATATTTATATGTTTAGGAAACGACGCTTTCACACACGCAGTTTTTGGCAAGGGTTCACTGCTGAGAAGCTGCCTGGGCTTGGGCAGAGCTGGAGGGAGAGCAGTGGCTGCACACGAGCCGAGGCAAAGCTGGCAGCTTTTATTGGCAAGGCCAGGGGTTCACACCGTAACGGGGAAAAGCAGGCAGCTGGAGAGGGCTCAGTGCCTTGGGGCTGCCCCAGCACCCTTCCCAGCAGCCTAGGACCCAGCAGGTTGGGGGTATTTTGTCCCCAGGTGTCCCTTTGGGTTATGGAGATGACCCCACGGGCAGCATGAGGTGCCCACCCATGGGCTTTGAGAGTTTGCCCCAGCCTAGCCATGGTTGGCATTTTGTGACACAGCTTTGAGGCCCTCAGTGACATGGTTTAGTGGTGGACATGGCAGTCCTGGGGTACAGGTTGGACTTGATAATCTTAAAGGTCTTTTCCAGCTTAGGTGATTCCATGATTCTGCCTGGTCTGGCTCAGCAAGGGTCAGGGGGTCCATGCAGCACCACGCTCCTGTCCCCAGGGAGGGCAGGGACAGGTAGACCTGGGACAAACTCACCAATACCATCAGTACAGATATAGCCAGGATGCTTTGCCCTGCATATTTTTATCTGCCGCGGCCGTCGCACACACGGGTGGCTGCTCTGCACCTCCGCAAGGGGAGAAGGGACCTCAGCAAACAGGACGTGGTGGGTTCATGGCTCGACCCCGCGGCCCGGCGAGGAGGAGGAGAAGGATGTGCCATCAAAACAAGCAACGCCGGAGAGGAAGATAAACAAACAGGCGGCTTCCAGCGCGGCCCCAGCCGAGGGCGAGTGGCAGCCCGGGGGCCAGGGCCGGCGGCGGTGCTGGTGGCGGTGCCGGCTGACGTCAGGGTGCCCGGGGGTCAGCGTCCCTCTTATTGTTCCCCACCAGCACTGGGATGGGGGCCAGGCGCCCGTCCCCATTCTGTGAGGGGACACGGGCCAGCGGGGCAGGTGGAGCGTGGCCGGGGCACCCAATGGAGGCGCTGGGCATCACACCCTGGGGTGCAGCCGGGCACCTGCCTGCACGCTGTTGCCTCTCCTTTTAACAGGCACTAAAAATAAGCTCCAGGGAGTGGAGCTACCACGGTCTGGCCGCGGGTGAAGGCGGCGGTGGGCTGTGCATTGGGCAGGGCGGGGACGGCGTCCCTCAGACCCGCGCCAGCCCGGTGCGGCCGGGAGGAAGTGGCCCTTTGACTCCTTCCAACCAGGGATGTTTTTAATTAGCACAAGGTAGCTGCGGCTTTGCAGCTGTGACCGGGCCAGAGCGGGGCCGGCAGTGTGGGTGCGACATGGGCTGCTCGCACGAAGGGTGCGCGGCTCAGGGGTGAAGGTGCCGCAGGTGCTCGGCCAGGCTGGGCTCCCTTGGCACTGGCTGGGGAAGCAGCTGGAGGACCCGGCACTGCTGCTCAGCAGGGCTGAGCGGTGCCAAAGTTGCAAGGCCCCGGGCAGGCTGGCTCAGGGCAGAGGAGGCAGCGTGGGGCTGGGTTTTGGGGATGCTTGGGTGAGCAGAGCAAGCTCTTGTGTGCAGCCAAGCATCTGTGCTGTGCTCGTCCGGTGAGACCCAGGGTGCCTATGTTGTGTTCTGGTCTCGAGCAGCTTGTGGGGTGTGGGGTCCTTGCTCAATTCCTGAACAAGCTTCGGTCACTGTCTCATTGCAGCCATTGGGTGTGGGTCCCATGCTGGAAACACAGTGGGCTGTGGCTGTGCTGGAGGAGCTGGGGTACACGCTGCCCTGTACACATATACACATGAATCTG